GGCCGAACACAAAGCAAAGTTATGTCTGAAAGACGTCTTTTCATTGAAGAGCCAGAATGAAAGTATGATGTCTTTTAAGGTTAAAAACTAGTTCCAATGTGGTCATTGTGGATATATTTTCAATGTCATTTAAGGTCTCATTTTAGACATAATATATTAAAACAGACATTATACTGTTTCTGGACTAAATAAACTTGAGTTTTAATTTAATGCATCCTGGAGATTGTTTAGTTTAATGTAATTTACATTTATAATTGCAAAGCAACTCACACAGTGTGTTTGTTCAGAAATCCTGAAAATAAAAAAACTTCACTCTCACCTTTAGACAACTTGCATCTGTAATTCACACATTTTCGAATTGTGAGGCAAACCAGATCTGAAGGAAATACTTTCTAGCTCATCTGGGACTCGAACCAGGGACCTTCTTGCTGTGAGGAGACAGTGTTTCTAAAAGTGGTTATTTGGCTCAGAATCATGGGGGAACCACTTTAATTGCTATATAGCACCTATTTCTTTAAAGATGGTGCTATGTAGACCCATAACCACCCCAAAGAACTGCTGAAGAACCATTACAAGGTTTAACAGGTTCTTTAGGAGCTATATGGTACTTAAAGTGGTTCCCCTATGATTACGAGCCATTTTAGCACCATTTTTAGAGTGAGACACTTGGGTCTCCTCTTAGCCACATACATAAAATTATTATACATACTTTTTTAATATTTGTATGTAATAAAATAAAAACACTGACAGGTAGAAACTCTGTTGTACATTTGAGCAGCTATTCAAACAATGACAGCAAAATCCTCAGTGAACACTGTGTAGATTGGACTTATATAAACACTGAGCAATGTTAAAAGAAACACTAAATCTAAAAATAGATTTACTGTAGTACCACTAACTGCACCATGGTATTGAGTCAGAAATGTGGGTATTTGTGTTGAATTTTATTGTATTATTAATGTAGACATGTATTAAATGTGTTGAAGGTAAAGTGATAATAAAGTGATCAAATAACTGATGATTGAGTATTTGGTCAAATCGACTTCAAGTAAAAGACATTAAATCTCTGAAGAACTCAGCAGAGGAGGATTAAACAACTCCACAAACAGCATTAACAGGTTTACTTATTACTTACCAGACTTTATTTCTGTCACACGTCTACAGAAGTTCTTATTGAGAATCAACAGAGATTTAAATGTTGATATTTATGTTTCATTTTAAGTCGTATAAACACTGAGCAATGTTCACTGAGAATTATGCTGTATTTTGTACATTTCAGCACCTATCCAAACAGTGTTTTGTACCTGTAAATGTTTAATTTTATTTTACATGCATACATGAAAAAGGGTCTGCAATAGTTTTTTTTAAAATAATTATTCCAGAATTATCTGTATTTATTGTCTGTAGCGAAGGGCAGCATAAGTGACAATGTCTCCTCACAGCAAGAAGGTCCCTGATTCGACTCCCAGCTGAGACAAACTCTTTCCATCCATACTGCCTATGGATGGATCCGTGACTTGAGTTTTTTTTTTTTAGCTTGTACAGAGGTTCCATGAACGTCTATATCAGGCATGCAGATATAGACATCAAATAAAGACATCATAAAAACTTTAATTCTGGCTCCTCAGTGGACATCTTTTCAACATATGCCAAGACTTTTGGACATAACTTTGCTTCGTGGGTCGTAGGGCTGGGCGCTAAATCGATAATTATTGTGCGATATAAATTTCCTCGATAAACGATAACAAGAGTTCGATATAATGTTTATGAGGCAAAGGCAGAAAGAAAGAGCGCTAGATATTTGAAGTGCGCCACTCTGACTGTTTATCTGCTTGGATCAAAGTTCAAGTGCGGCGCGGCACGAGCTCACTAGAGCAGATGCGTTACTCGCTGATGAGTTTCAGTCACACGACACTGAACAGTGCTGTGAGATCCAATGTGAAGTGCTGTTTACAGCCACATGAAAGCACTGACAAACAGGAGAAACACTGTGACTAACGATACAGTCAGAACCCAGAAGGCTTTTCAATCTACAAATCCCCATCATTTACCATGGATTTACTGTAGTACCACTAACTGCACCATGGTATTGAGTCAGAAATGTGGGTATTTGTGTTGAATTTTATTGTATTATTAATGTAGACATGTATTAAATGTATTGAAGGAGGAGTAATGGAATGTAATTACAGTATTTTTTTGTGATTAAGCTATAGCATTTATGCAGGGCCTAAAACTAACTTTTTGCCACACCTGCCAATGACCGGTGACATGAGAAAATGTACCAGCCAAACTATTTTTTTACCGGCCATGAAACTCTTTTTGCAGAAACAGGCAGTTATTACTACTACAATGACTAAACAATGTTTTTAATTTGTCCTTTACTTTCAAGAAAAAAACAACAAACATATTTATTGATTTTTTTAATCAATGTTCATTAATGTCTTTGTCTTTCTTTCTTTTTTTTTGTCTCTGAAAAAAGTAATTGTTGAGATTCTTGACCTTTAACGTTTTCGGCAAACAGAGCAAGCCATCGTGTTAGTCGCAGTATCAAATACAGGCCAGTCTCTCTTTGATACATAGTCAATGAAACACCATCTCTCGCTAAAACAGGGTGTCTGCAGACATGAACAAGTTAAATTTAAGACTTTTTAAGACCTTTTTAATACCACCTTATGTGAAATTTAAGACCAAACCTGTGATGGAAATACACATTATATTACATATATATATGTAATATTTAACACGTTTAAATGTAAAAAGAAAAAAATGTATATCATCGCTGTCAAAAATGCTATTTGTTATTATGATATACAGTGAACTTTTCATATCAGCAGACAATATCCCATACAAAATATTCCCACAAAAGTGTCGCATCACAGATTTTTGGTGGTGTAAACAATACAGGGCTGTTACCAATCAAATTAAATAAATTACAACTGCAATAAATAATGTTATGAGATTAATGTTGTAAATAACATTTTGAACATACAGAACGCCGGGTGTGGCTTGGAGAGTGTGCGCAATAATTCTGTTCTGATCTTTGTTTGGAACTATTTTCATTGGTGAAATAGAACAAAACAGTCAATTGTGTCTAAAATATAAGTAAATTCATATACTTTACTACTTGCTTGTTGAACTAAAATCAATGTAACATTTGCAATCTTGAAAATATTCAGCAAAATAGCTCCCTTGTCATGGTATGTTACCGAAAGTCTCTCACACAGAGAACCGTCATGACGTTCTGATGTTTGCTCATCATGTTTCCGTTCCATTCCGGCGTAACCCCAGGTATGTGTCGCCACATCTACACTGGATGCGACAAAGCAACCATTTAAAAAGCATTTGAACTTTGTGTCAATATGTTATAAATAGAATGCGGCAGCATTTTACTGTCGGGGATTTGTCGTGTCGCACCACGCCACATCTAGTGTAGACAGCATCACTGATTGTAATGGGTCCTATTGTATTTTGTTGCGCCACGCCGCTTGCGTCCGGTGTAGACACGATGTCAGGTTATATGAAGAATAAAAAAGGGGAAAGTTAATCTTCCGAAATAAAGCAGCAATATCTTCTCAGGTAAAAGTTATTAGAACCGTGTCTGGGGACAAGCTGGCCATCACACTTGCTCTGACCTTATCAGCCCATTCGTATCCTATTATTTGATTCGCTCTTGTCACTTATGACAGAACAGCTAATCAATCACAATGATCTCGTCTTCAGAAAATATTTTATTCGCTTACGTCAGAAACAGCTAATCTCTTTCAAAACTGGCTGTTGTTCTCAATACATTGCATTGTTATAATTCCAAAAAGTTTTACCCTCCAACTGGCGACTGACACTGTTACATATACTCGCCAACGCTGATTTTTACTCACATTTGGTGCTTGGCGAGTGTTAATTTTAGGCCCTGGCATTTATGCGTTTATACTAAATTATATAGACTAAACTAAAGACTGCTGTTTTTCATACAAATACCTAGAAGCCATATTACATTTTTACCATGGTATTGAGGTGCTATATTTGTGGTTTTAACTGTGATTATCATGATCTAAATGTATGCTACTATGGAAGACCAATGGTTAAAAAAAAAAAATCACCTCAGTCAGAATAATTACATTTCACCATATAAAAATGAGATTGCTACCATTTTTACAGATATAACTGATTCTGATAATGAACATAAATCTACATCTGCATCCTAACTCAAGCTACTATCAAATGTTTATTTCTACGAGACAAAAAAATGTTACATTATTAATATTAACAGGCAACACAAACCCATTTCTTGATTTGAAACAATATTACTCATTGGAACATGCATAACTAAGAAATTATTTTTTTCTGTTAAGGAAAAATGACTGCAAAAGTGTAAAGAATTCAAAAACTTCTTAACCGTCTGGTTTTTTACAACTTTTACAATGGAGCAAAAATCTGCCTTTAAACTTGAAAGAAATAAAAATTTGACATTTATCGTGATAATTATCGATATCGACTGATATGAAAAAAAAATTATTGTGATAATTTTTTGGCCATATCACCCAGCCCTAGACGGTCGCCATTATCAAATGCTTGCCATTTAGGATTAGTTTATGTCGTCTAACATGAGTTTTGCTCTTTTCTAGCCCTTCGGTTGATACAAAATGGAGGCACGTTTTGGTGAACGTCACATGATGTTTCTGCATGGAGAAAATTTGTCTACCCATTTTGACACTCAGCCAAAAATCCATTTCTTACTGCATCACTTGCTGAAGCATAGCCTATAGAATCATCTTCAAAAAAAGAACAAGTGTGATATTTGGGACAAATATTACAGTATTTAGAAGTTGTTTAGTTAGTCCAACAAAGCATATTTAAACACAGTATTTTCTTTTCTTCGATGTTTGCCCGTGTGTTTACTTTTGGTTTCGTTTTCAAGAGCTTTATTTCGCTGCATCATTAGTCTACTAAATGACCATCACAACTCCATGTACAACTTTATAATGCAAATTTAATAGTCCAACCTTGTTGCAGGCAGTCGTGATCGAAGCGCTTGTATTTGCGTTCTACTGGAAGATGCGATGAAAGCAGAGAAGCTCGAGCTCAAACTCCACGCGTCGCTACAGATGAACTCTGTTTTACAGCGCGACGACAAGAAATGAGTTGAACTCAGCTTGCACGGAACCAATATATCCAATCTAGGTCAAAAACATTTTTATAACACAAATAAGGCATATATCTATTCGAAATGTAATTAAAACAACAACAACGAACTTTCAGCATGTAGTTCCTTCTTCCTCCTTCTTTACATTGGGTTCCGCCTCAAAATAGACAGGACACCACATGCTGGGGAAGCAACTTTTTTTTCTTTTTTTTTTTAAACACAACAATCACGGGATACATACATCCCAAATATAACTTAACAGGATAATATATTACTTGAAATGATGCAAAGCAGCTAGAATGCAATACACAGTGATAATGTACTAAAATAAATAGGCCTAAACAAACAGATAAAAGAAATATAAACAGATAAATACAAATTTATTACAAATAATTAAACATAAAAAAATTTCACCTTTTTTTGGTGTCTACATATCCATCTCCTTTGACCCTGATTACCAAATCAAAAACAATAAATGAATTATTTCAACAACAACAAAAAAAATGTTGTCAGCAGAGTTGTCCAACTTAAATTTAGAAAGTAAAGAATTACAGGGATAGTAATTATGAAGAATTTTATAGTAAAGTTTCATCTTAAGTAACAGAAACGTATTATTAATTACCATTCTGTATTTTAATAGTAGAAAGAAGAGCATAGTTTCATTTTGACTTAAAAAATGCTTTGGACTGACAGCTAAACCGATTATTTTTTAACCCAAAAATATTACATTTAACATTAGAAAGCTTCTAGACCTCTAATGGACAATTTGGACACTTAAATTTTGATACATTTTAACAACATGCCCTAACCAAATATAACAGTTTGAGTAAAATAGATTTAAAGTACTTAATTTACATTCAAGCTACCTTTCTGAAAAAGTAGTTACAGGACAAGTTACTATCAAAAAGTAGCTGGTGGAACTTTTTTTTCTCACAACGACAATTTTACAAATAACTGAATAATTTTTAATGTATAATTTTGTAAGTAAAATGTTTGGGGTTTAAAACAACATATTGTAATGCAATCATGATTTCAAAGAGTAGGGTGAATTCAGGTTGATTGGAACACTTTTTTCCCAGTCATTTCAATGACAAAAACTGTAGTTTTATTTTGTAAACTATCCCATAAACACAATAATAAAGTGCAAAATTGCTACAAATGTAACATCAGCACAAAAACAAAATGTATGCATCTTAATTTAAATACTTAGGAGTAGTCAAAAATGTAACTCACAGCACATGCAGTAGTTACTGTGAACAGAGCCACTCCAAGACGGCAATCGTGAGCTGTTCGGGATTAATTTTGATACCCAAATTCACAAGATGGCCCAGCCATAAACTTTAAACATGGTGGAAGGGAGATCTGCTGTGACAGATATGATTTATTCCCCCCCCCCCCCCCCCCAAAACTAATACAGTGCTGGGAGGCTAAGTGAGAAATAAAATTTTTTCCCCCCCCCCCCCCCACAATAGCTAGATCGTTTTGTCTTGCCATTAATAGAGTGCATATTTACATAATAATCATTTTAAGTGTATTGTATGTTTTGTACGCAGTGACAATAGCTTGCATTTGACCAACATTACAGAATCATCAGCAAGAGGACTATCTAGATAGCATTGTGAATATTTGTCAATGCATGGTACACTAAATATAATGTTGGCAATAAAATGTTTCCCAGTAAATGGGCAAGAATATACATGGTGCCCTCTACGATTCTTGTTCATTCCAGCAACAAAGCACATGAATGCAATAAGCTCAATGAAATTTCTGATAGCATGTGAAGGCAGTATTAATCCTCCTCCAAACAGCAATGGGTTGTGGGCAAGAGTGTTAGAGTGTGCACGGATCCGAAAATCACAATTTTTAAGTCCCTATTATGGTGGTCAGAGTTTGCTTTAGTTGGGCTCTTGTGCCCAGTTGCATAAAGTACCTTAAGTGTAATTTTCCTTTAAGATTGCCCTTAGGTTTCCCTTAAACTTCAGGGTGTTGCAGAAAATAACCCTTACGCATTACTTAAGGGCTAAGGCCCAATCCCAATTCTATTTTATACCCGTTTGCCTGCCCCTTGCCCCTTGAAACAGAGTGCCAAGGCGTAGGGGTGAAAATGTTCCCCTAAGAAATGGGACACCACTACTACACCATGACACGTCATCATACCTCGTTTCTTTTATTAGTATCCTGTAATATTTAACCAGTATGAACAGTAATGAAGTTCACATATCAAACAGAAATCAGGCACAAGCATGTTGTCTGCGCTCTATTTGGACTTAAGAAAATGGTGCTCGTTCTTAGTTCGAAAACCTTAAGAGTTTCCTAAGACGATACAGAATGATACAGTAACAGAACATACAAAACTGGTGGAGCCGCTCTTTTCCATCATGCCAAACTGTTCTCTGTTCGCTTAACCGTTCCATTCTGTGCTGATCCGAACCGGTCTGTACCGATGGTTTCATTTTCTACTGTGATGCTAATAACGGAGCACTTTGCAATGTAATACAAATGGTAACACAAGAGTTTACAAACAATACAAGATGTAAATAGCGACTACGTTATGAAGGATGACCAGATATTTCTTTTAACTGTATTATTAAGTTGTGTTCATATCACTCAAATAGCGCGTTTATAGAGAAACAATGGCCAGACAACACACAAGTGACCGATCCCGAGTGGCGATGTCACTACACGCATTCTAGCAGCTTGGTAGTTGATGTATGCAGGGAAATTTCTCATACCTCTTCGTTTGAAGTGTGGTCCCGAAAGTCTTAGTTTAGAAGATTAGATAGGCCCTTCTCCTTCCCCCTACACCTTCAGCCAAAAGATAATCGAGACACCCCTTAAGAGGTAAGGGGTAGAAGTGGGATTGGGCCTAAGTGACGCGTCTTAAACCCTAAGCATTTGCCATACAAAGCAATTACTTTTTACAATTACTCTACAAACATACACCTTTGTTTACTTCTGTGTTTTGCTTGGCAACCACTTTGTTGCAACCACAACCGTTTCTGAGGAACTACATTGTTTGGCGGAAGAATAATGTTTTTATTAATATTATTACATGTTATTTGCTTTTTTTTATTTTGTAAAACCTTGCTACATATATGAAATAACCATTTTTTAAAAGCAATAAGCCCTGTGAAGCCGTGGTTTACAGTGAATTTATAACAGCTAAGGGGGCTTTACGCACTCCGCTTCGCGTCGTGCCTAACAACACCCCTTAGCTGTTATAAATTCACTGTAAACCATAGCTTCTTGGGGCTTATTGCTTTAAATTGCATTGGCTACCAATAGCTTCTTGCATTAAATTCAAGGCATTAATGTTTGCCTACAAAACCACCACTGGCTCTGCACCCATTTACCTAAATTCATTACTTCAGTGTTATGTGCCTCTAGAAGCTTGCGTTGTGCAAGTGAACGGCGTATTATTGTGCCATCTCAAAGAGGCACAAAATCACTTTCACAGACTTTTACATTAACTGTTCCCTCCTGGTGGAATGACCTGCCCAACTCAATCCGAGCAGCTGAGTCCTTAACCATCTTCAAGAATCGGCTAATTCTAATCTTTATATATATAAAAAACTTGCCCCTTTTAGACTTGCTCTCTATTTATTTACTAACTGCTTGTTTTCTTATAAAAAAAATTAAAACAAATAACACTAGCTTCTCTAATCTTTTTGTATTCTATATATTTGTTTTCTTTGTATTTATTATACAGTTAACAAAAGCAAAAAAGACTTCTAACACTAGCTTGCTCTATTCTTTTTCTATTCTATCAGTTTTGTTTTTATTTATTTTATAATAAAAAAACCTTGATATGTGTGCTGCGTCAGGGCAGCGCTGACAACACCTTTTTGTGCAAACTGCGTGACCATAGTGTGCGTGTGCGAGCACGTGTGATTGCAGTAATGAGACAGAGTCAACAATTCACTGAGTTCAGAAAAGAAGTTAGACAAAGCCTTAGGAGGACGGTAGAGTAGGATAATTATATGAGAGTCAGCCTTCACAACCATATATTCAAATGTATTGGTGTCTTGAAAATCAAGCTGTGTAAGACGGGGACCACCACCTTTCCCAAGCAGTCGTGGCCTTGACAGGTATTTACTGTATATTAGTCACAGATACTATTACTCTGCAAACTGGACATAGTTGAGAGGACAATATTTTTCTAATATTATAGACATATATAGTTTAGTATGTATAGGATATAGTATACATGTTGTTAATTTTTTATGTTTGGTGCTTTATGCCATTTAAACTGTGGCTAACTTGTATTTGCCTTCTTTTTTTTTCATCCCAGACACTGAAAGAGGAGAGTGAAGTATCGAATGAAATGGAAGAGAAAGATCAGTATGAGAAACAGCATGCTTTCATAACTAGAAAACAATCATTTATTTGCTCACAGACTGAAAATACATCCTCACAAAAAACAGCTCAAAAGACAGAAAATAGAAGTCATTTCAACTGCCAACAGTGTGGAAGGTTGTTTCAGTCAACACGGAAACTTTAAAGTCCACATGAGTGTTCACACTGGAGAGAAGCCTTACACATGCCAACAGTGTGGAAAGAGTTTCACTCGAAAAGTGTCTCTTAAAAACCACATGACTGTTCACACCAAAGAGAGGCCTTACACGTGCCAACAGTGTGGAAGCAGTTTCACCCAGCTAGGAAGCTTTAACAGGCACATGAAACTTCACACTGGAGAGAATCCCTTCACCTGCGAACTGTGTGGAAAGAGCTTCACACAAAAAGTACACCTTAAAGTTCACATGACAACTCACGCTGACAAAGGTGCTTTCAATTGCCAACACTGTGGAAAACGTTTTCACAGAAAAAAAAAAGTCACACTGGCGAAAACCCTTATTCCTGCAAACAGTGTGGAAAATGTTTCATTCGAAAAGGAAGCCTTGAATGTCATGTGAGAATTCATAATGGAGAGAAGCCATATGTTTGCCCTCAGTGTGGAAGGAGTTTTACACATAAACAAGCTCTTAATGTCCACATGAGAATTCACACCGGAGAGAAGCTTTACACATGTGAACTCTGTGGAAAGAGCTTCACTGGTAAAGGAAACCTTAATGTCCACATGAGAGCTCACACCAGAGCTCTTTTGTCTGCCAACAGTGTAGACAGAGTTTCAACCAAAAAGGAAACCTTAAA